GCAGCAACATACTGTTCGAGCTTATTGCTCGTACTATGTAGCAGCTTTCGTCCAGCGTTCCTCCTGTCTTGACAGTAGGTGCGCATATCTAACAACTCTACACACTTATTTAATAATAAGGTTAATACATAAGACAACTCTAATAATTAGTAAATACTATAAAGTTATATTTTTATCTAATAAAGAGGATTAAAATAAGAAATAGTGTAAGAATAATAAAATAAATAAAACTAGTAAGCTATTTAGTATAAAAAAGATAGATATTAAAAACGCCTTTTAAAAGGTAGATACTTACTTTATTGTTACGGTCTATGGTTGGACCAGCGTAACTCCACTAGCAGTGCTCCACAATCTAGCTGGATTGGGACAGGGCTCGCTTAAAAACCAGTCGGAGGACACGGAGGCAGCGCAGCTGCCCGAGGTTATAGAAGAATGCGTCGTCTAATAAAGAGGCGGGCCGCGAATCCAGGGAGCTTAAGAGAGCCTGCAGGAGTCTCCTTAGCAAGCTCCTATAAACTCCTACTAACTCCTCTTAGCGCCCTAGCACATGTATATAGTTCCCACATTAAACAACCTTTAGGAGGTGTGTTTAACATTTAGTTTATTCTTTACATAGACTAAGTAGCATTTAGCTTTCTAAAGAGCTGTAATACTATTTGTATATCTTACACTATATATACCTCTAACTCTGTCTATTAGGACTGTTTAACCCTAGCCTCTCTACTGCTGCACATAGGGCAAACTACAATCTAGTCACCCTACCCTTCTCTAATAGCCTAATAGCCTGTACGCAGGACTGTACACCCTGCTAGATTAGCCCCTACTATCTGTCCTACCTCTTTAGGAATATTGTAAGACCTAAGTGCTTCTTAAAGCAAAAATTGTAACATTAAACACTACCCTTTTTAAAAAGTATAGATACTTTATAACATAACTTAGATTCTAACATAGCCTATACTACGCTATTAGGATCTACAGAAGTTCCTACCTAAAGCAAAGCTGTCCTAGTAGAATAGATTAACATAATTTAGAATAACATTAAAAAACTCTAGCAGATTAGTAATAAAGTTAGTAAATTACTAAAACTTAAAAAAAAAATTACTAACTTTTACTAAAAAGTAGTAGAATTATAAAACCTTCTTAAACTTTTAAGCTCTTAGAAAGTAACTAACTAAGCCTATTAAATACATAAACTATAAGTAAAGCTAGTAAAGATCTAAAACATCTTAACTAAAAAAACAAGCATTATAGTAAAAAAAAGCTTTAAAACTAGCTCTTTTAAAGCTTTTTAAAAAATTACTAAAGAACTTTTAACTATTCTTTATAAGATGTCACCTTTATATGTAATATAATAAAAAAGCATTTTAGACTAACATAGAAATAATATTCTAAATAAGATTACACTTAAAAGGCCCTTTTATAATTTAGTTCTAACTCTATGCAGATAATTAGATAAATTTTAGAGTAAATAGTAAAGCACTTACTTTTAAAATAAAAAAAGTATTTAGTAGTATTAAAAACTTTAAAAAAGCTCTAATAGCTATTTATAAAACCTTTAATAAAAAAAAGATTGCAGTAGACAAGTTAGACACTATAAAATAAAAAACTAGCCTAGTTTAGAATTATGCAGCACGCTTTAGAGAACAGCTAGCTATCTGCAGATAGATAAACTAGAAAGCCCTCTGCTACATGTTCTATAATAGACTAAGTAAAGTAGTAAAAGATAAATTTATGCACAGTAAAAAACTAACTACTTTTAAAAAATTTATTATGTAAGCAATAATCTATAACAACTGTTATAAAAAGTGTAAAAAATAAAAAAAATAAAAAGGAACTTTTTAAAGACTAGAGTTTATTTCTAAGAAAAAAAAGCTTTTATAATATAATAAAAAACTAATAGACCTTAGTTATGTAAAGCATATATAAAGCCTTCTCTTTAAGAAGAGCTAAGTTCTAGGACATAATAAGCTGCCCTTAATAAAGAAATAACAAAAGTAGCTAAAAAATAAGGCCTACCTAAACTATAAAAAAGTAGGATATTTCTACTAAAACTACCTAAACTTTTAGAAAAGAGAGAATAAAAATACTACTATAATAATAAAAGCTATTACTGCTAAATACAGCCTTATAAATAAGAAAATATTAGAAAGACTAAATAATAGACTTTACTAGTAATATAAAAAAAACTACTTTTTAAACAACTGCCTTAAAGTGTATTAGAAGGTAGTTATTTAAAATTTTAGCAGCCTTAATACAGTGTTACAAGACCTTGTAATTTTTAAAAAATATAAAAAAAAAACTTAGATCTAAGGATATATTATAAACATTTAAAAAGAAAAGAAATAATTCCCTCTTTAAAATTAAACCTCTAGCACTTTAGTAAAAGAGCTCTTTTAACAGTTTTAGAAATGTAAATGCTAGAAGTGCAGTTTATAACATAACTACCTAAGTTATTACATAGTTATGCTTTATTAGATAAATATTAGTAATAACTACTTTACATTTAACATTATCTAACGCATAGCTAAAGTTAAATATAATATTATAAATAAAAAAGAGTAATAGCAGTTCTTTATAAAGATCTAAGATTAAAAACTAGAAGGACTAGGTAAACCTGCTAGGTTTAAAGTCCTAAAGCTAGTACCTAGAAAGCCTAAGACACTGCTTCTAAGCCTTATAATTAGTAAGAAAGCTTTAGTAATGTAACAGAGCTATAGTTAGTGCGCACTTTATAGAAATAAAACCTACAGCACTAATAACTGCTAATAAAAAGGACACTTAGTCTAGATAGTACAGACGCAGGAATACCTACAGTAGACTTAGAAGGGCCCTGTAAAGATGGGATAGTAAGTAGCACAGATAGCACTGTGTTACAATCCTTGCTTCGGGAAGCACTTGGGTCTTATGATATTCCTAGGGGGGAAGTAGGACGGGTA